GGTCCCTGCAGGCGCACAGGTGCCTGGGTGAGCAAGACCGCACAGACCGGGAGTCTGCGGCGGCTGCTCCTCTGTGACTTAAGCCAGCCCTGCCCTTCTGGGGGCTCACCAGAGCGTAAGTTAGTCATGGTGGACGGCAGCTGGAGGTAGGCAGGGTTGTGGGTGGTGACACCGATCTCGATGGAGCCAGCCCACTTGTCTACCATCTTGTCAATGCGCACCTGGAACACCTCTCCATCCCGGAGGGCTCTGCTGCTCAGCACCACGCCATGGTTGAAGTCATCTGTGGCGCTGAGGACACGGCAAGCAGAGGCTCAGCTCCCAACACACCGAGTGTGCCCCAGACAACCAACTAGACCTCCTGCTCCTGGAGACCCCACCTTTCTGTCCAGGACTTCCCCCACCAGCTGGCCTCTGCCGCCCGTGCTCCTCCTCCCTGCCCACACCCCACTAGGGACCCCCTTCGCAGGTCTCGCCCCATCCCAAGGCTCATACTGGGGCCTCAGTGCGGTGCGTCCCTCGTGGGTGATGGCTGCCTTCTGCCCACAGTTAGGATGGAAGAGCAGGCGCTCAGGTTCTGCCTGGGCAGCAGGAGCAGCGCGGCGAAGAGCGCCCTCGGGGGACAGCGCCCTCAGGATGGCATTGTTGCGGCGGAGCCGGTCGCTGTGGTTATTGTTATGGACTATGGTCACTTTCACAGCCATCCCATACAGGTCCACCACACCGTACACGACCGGCGGAGTCAGCGGAGTAGCTACACCTGCAACGGAGCAGAACGAAGGCGGCAAATGGAACAGCGGGAGCCTGATAGAGCAGGATGAGGTGTGGCCCACTGAGACCTGGGGCCTGTCCTGCATGTCAGCTTACCCTGGTCAATGCCGTTAATGAAGAAGTGCAGGGCAGAGTTGGACTTCCTCGTGAGGCCAATATGGTCACCCTCCTAGGCAAAGAAGAAAGACCCTCGGCTGGAATCCAGCCCCCAGGCTCAGGTTCCCGCAGTCCTGGGCACCACCCACCACCCCACTCCACTGGAGGCCGCCGCTACAGAATTCACACAGGGCCTCTCCTGGGCTGCGCCTGACTCCCCTTCCCCAGACACACTGACTTTCACGCTTCCCACGTGCCTGACGTAAAGCAGGTACTGAGCTAACCCATCTTAAAAACAATCTCCGTCTAGTTAAGTGCTACAGGGGCTGGAGATGGAGCTCTGAGATAGGGCTCTTGCTGAGCAGGCCTAGGGTCCTAGGTCCCGTTCCCAGCACCAACGGGGAAAGGTGCTACTCGTAAGCACACCTTAGACCCTGTTAGACAAGCCTGCCTTCTCGGAGGAAGCCTCACGCAGAGAGAACGGGACTTGTTCTTGGCACCCAGGCCCCCCTGGGGTGGCCCAGGTCTCTGTGCCCCACTCACCTGCAGTTCGTCCAGACTGAACTCACAGTACTCCCGGCGCGTACCCTTGCCATTGGTCAAGATGCCACACCCACTCATCATGATGGTCCCTGGTACAGATGGACACCCAGTTAGGGTACATCAAGTTGCTGCCTTGCTCTCAGCAACCTCAAACCCATGTCCCTACCCCTGCCCACAGCTACTACCTGACTGGAGGTTGGTCATGGTGGCTGGGTACTCCAGGCTGTTGGGATTGTGAGTGGTGACGCCAATCTCGATGGACCCTGACCACTTGTCTACAAGCTTGTCGATACGGATCTGGGTTGAGCGAGAGCAGACAGGAGCGGGAAATGTGACAATGGAAAATGGACCCTTGGTTCTTCACCACCATCACTGTCTTGGCATCGAGCCTCAACCCCTACACTTCGCTCCCAATCTCTGGCATGAAGCTCGGCCAGACTCCGGGATTCTACACACCTCAAACATCTCATTGTCCCGGAGTGGGCGGTTGGTCATGACAACCCCGTTGTTGAATTCATCCAGGGGCCTCCGGCGCTCGGCAGTCTTATTGTTGTTGCTGAGTTTGATGAGGGTTCCACATTTCTCGTGAAAGAGCAGGGCATCGTTGGACGTGAGGATGGGAGAGGTGGCAGGCCCAGTGGATGCCAGTCCTTCCCCTGCCGGCGGGGAGCTCAGGTTCACATTAAGGAGGCCCCCATTGTAGGCAGACAGAATGGCACTGCTCACCACCTCAGACAGCTCCATGCTGGCCACGTCTACAGCAGCAGATGGAGAAAGGAAGCCGAGCTGAGGTTCTCTACCCATGCCCGCCAAGCCAGCTTGGGACCCTCTTCTCCAGACCCAGCTCTTAAAATCCCACCCTTGTCCCCCTCACTACCCCCTCCCCTCCCAGGGCTTCCCCGAAGCCCTCACCATTATGCGAATCAAGGCTGTTAGGAAACGTCTCCGGCCGGGCCTGCGCTGGGGACACCATGAAGGCTAGGGACCAGGTGGGATGGGAGGGGGTAAGGGTTCAGCTCTTGCTCCAGAGCCCGCAGTCAGGGAACCATCTCTTCTAACCCCTGTGCTCCCCTATAACAGGCTCGGGTCTCAATGGCCCTGTCCCTCCCCCAGCTGACTCCTCACTGCTCTTGCCCCACTTCTTCAGCCACACCTCAGGTGTCCCCGGAGCTGTGTCCTCACCTTCATCTACAGAGGTCCCCTGTTCCGACAAGGCAGAATCTTCTGGAGGGACCAAGGACTCAAGGGTGGGCGTGGCGGTGGGAGCGGGAGGACTGAGGCCAGGCTCAGGGGGCAGGACGGTGATCTGGGTGCACTTGCCATAAAGGTCCACAACAGCCCAGACTCGGGCAGGCAGGCCTGTGGCAGCCACTCCACAGTCCCGCCCGTTCACCCAGAGCCGGAGCTCCCCGGAGGCTGTGCGCTCCACGCCCACTCGGTCCCCTTCCACAAGCTGGTCCAGGTCCTGGCCATACTCCTCCAACACAGAGCGCCCATCCCTCAGCACGGAGCAACCTGACACTACCCAGGAGCCCCCCTTCAGCCCGGTGGCGCTGCTGGGGAAGTCCAGGACAGCGGGATCCAGGGCCGTCACTCCAATTTCAATGGAGCCGCTCCAGGAGTTGACCTACGAGAGGGTGGTGGACAGAGTGTCAGAAACCCAGACCTCTGAGACCACAGACCCACAAATAACCATGTGGACACATCGCTCCTTTACCCACTGAGCACACTGGTTTAGCACCCTGGCTTCAACCTGACGCCCTCTGACGCCCTCTGACGCCCACAGCCTCTGTGGCTCCTCGGCCACTCCTATCACACGCTTCCTAGGTCCCTATAACTCCTCCTAAACCACTCTCATCCCCAACCCCAATCCCCCAACGGGTCAGGTTCCACCCGGAGTCATCCCTTTCTAAATTCTTTCGAGCCACGCGAGTCACACACACTTCTCCCATGTCTCCTCATCTACCTTTCTGGCTTTGGGCGCGTGTCTATCACCAGTTTGTGTTTTACTGTTTCTCTTCTCTCCCATCACGTCACAGGCACCTATCTTTGATCCCTAAGTAGTTGTGCTAGACCTGTGCACTAGCCGTTCTGGGAGCTGGGCCCTGCATCCCTGTCCGGCTCCTGGGACCCGAAGAAACTCATCCACCTTCAGAATGAATGTGTCTGCTCCGGGCTCCTTTCCCTTCTCTTCTCTGCCGGCTCGCCATCGGCGGCGGGAGGCTTGGTCTGAGATGCAGACTTCCTGACAGTTCTCCCCTCTAGTCCGCTCCCACCTCCCCGCACCCCGCAGCCCCAGCTCTGCACCTTGCGGTCAATGCGGACCGTGAAGACGCGCCCGTCGCGCAAGGGTTCTCGGCTCAGCACCAGCCCGTGGTTGAACTCCTGGCCCGGCTGCTGCCGCCGCGCCGTGCGCCCGCAGGCCGACAGGCTTACCAAGCGCCCGGTGCGCGGGTGCAGCTCCCCGCCAGCGCCGAGCGCCGCGCCGGACCCCAGGGCCGGCCCGCTGCTGCCGGGGCCCCCACCCCCGCCCGGCCCCGGCCCAGGCCCGGGGCCGGCCCCAGAGCCCCCACTCCCACCCGACCCCGCCGCCATCGCCGCTGAGACCGCGGCCGCGCGACAGCCGCGCTTGGCGGCACCGTGGCAACCGCGGCGGACGGACGCCCCGGGGGAAGACGGCCGGGGGCCGGGGCCAGGTGCGCTTTACGGCACTGCCCGCACTGAAGCATCCAGCGCTGGGGAGGCACGGTCTGCCGCGAGGGGGGGCGGAAGGACGACGGGGTCGGGGGCACTTGCTTTACGGCACGGCGGGACGACGGCGGCCGGGAGGGAGGGGAAGAGCCGGGCCGCTTTTGCGACAGTGGCGTGTTCGCGACGCCGCGGCCGCAGCCTGGCCGGGAGGGGCGACGCGTGGACGTCTCCGCCTCGACACGAGGGGCGGTGGCCTCCTTCTCGCCGCCCGCGCTGGGGCGCTGCAGGCGTTACCCCGGAGGCGGCGGCTTTCCGGAAGCCCTTCACGGCCCGGAGGCCGGGAACGCCGCAGCCCGGCCACGCGCCGCCCCGCCAGGCCCCACTCGGCGTCACCCCTGCAGCCAGCGGACGGGGGCGACGCCGCAGGCCGTTCGGGACCTTGAGCTTGAGCCCCGGCGCGGTGAAGCGCTGGGTCTCGAGCTCGCTGACGGGCACTGTCCAGGAGCCGCGGCGAGACCCGGGCGCGCGAACCGAACCCCGGCCCACTGGGGGGCCCCGCCGCGGCCGGGGCTGTGACGTCACAAGGCCCCTCGCGCCCGGCCCGGCCCGGCCCCTGGGCAGTGGTTGGCCCATTCGGAGGCGGGCGGTGATGGAGAAGGGCGGGAACAAACTACAGAGACAAAGAAAGCCCGCGGGTGTGACAATTAGAGAAGGGTTTGCCCAGGGGCTCCCCGGCTGAGGGCTCTGTACACGCCTGCTTTCGCTCGCCCCGGGGCCAGGGAGCGGAGGCGGAGGAGGTCCTCTGGAACCCCGAGCCAGCGCCCCGCGGTGGGGACAGGCCCGAGGGGCGTGGCTATGTGCAGCTGCGAGGCTGGGCCGAGGAATTGAAGTGGCGACCGAGTGGAGCCATGGAGAAGCCGGAGTCTCTCGCGTCTGTTAGTGGCCTCAGTGCGGAATCGCCTGGGGGCGTTTCTAAGGCAGTACCTGGAGGTGTCAAAGGTACACAGACAGACTCCGGGCCACCCTCCGGAGTAGCCTTGTTTTGCGGTGCTGGCCCCCTCTTGCATACCGGAGGCAGGCACTGTACCTCGCCGTCCTGGTCCAATCCAGCCCTCTGAATGGGCAATGACCCTCAGTTCCGGACCCAGTGCGCACCTCCGGGAGGTCCTGGCACTGGAACTGGGGCAAACAGGGCGTCCATCCCAGGTCCGGGGGAGCCTAAAGTGCACAGCTCGGAGAGCAGTCCGCAGTCCGGGTCAACTTTCTTGCACTCTCAAAACTCTGAGGAACGGCCGCGGAGCATCCTAAAGAACAGCAGCTCCATCTTGATGAAGAAAACCTCCAGTGGGGAGAAGTAAGCGGCTCAGCGGTTAGCCTGCAGCCCTGAGACGGGAGGGAGGCATTCAGAACACCTTGAGCCAGGAAAAAAAAAGGGGCGGAGCCCTGAGGTCGTGGTTGAGGGAGGGTAGGCAGGGGCAGTTTGGGTTGGAAATCTGAGGTACCATGACTTTGAGAGGGCGACTGGTGTCACAGAAATCCTGGCCACACAGCACTGTGATTGTCACTGGGTATCTGTCTCCAATCCTCGCCTCTGCGAGAGAATAAAAGATTTTTTTTTTTTAATGCCTGGAAGAATGAAGGAGACCCCTCTGCTAGGAGATGGTCACCAGCCAGAACAACTTCCTCCTTTGCTGTGCCCTTTCCTCACCTTAGGAAGTCTCAGCGTTGGGATGAGATGAATATCTTGGCTACCTACCACCCTGCTGACAAAGACTATGGCTTTATGAAGGCGGATGAGCCCAGCACCCCCTTCCACAGGTGCTAAGCCCTCAGCCCTAGCTTTTCAGCCTGGACCTGGTATTCTAATGAGGGACTGTGAGGGAGAGGCCGAGAAGCCTCGGGTACTAGTACTGCCTCCTCCTCTGCAGGCTGCAGGATGATGAGGACCCATCTGCTGGGTCTTCTCTCAAGGTGACTCCTGCCTCATTGGCAGAGAGGTGAGAGTCCTATCGCAATTAGCTAAGGTGTGCCCTCTACCCCCACACCTCTGAACCCAGGCTCAGAAAGCTTTGTTCTTTGGTTTATAAAAATGATAGGTGCTACCGCTCCCCCCTCAGGTATAACCAAAACTGAGCAGCTGGATTACCAGCTTTAGTCCCCCCTGCCCCCCATTGCTGTTTCCTTCCCTTCTGTACCCCCAACTAGTCTCCTTCCCCTTCAGGTTTGCCACAATGGACAATTTCCTCCCCAAGGTCCTCCAGTATGGAGACAACAAAAACTCAAAGACTGCAGACAGCTTTGCCAAGACATGTATGTGAAATGTGGGGTGGGCCTTGTTGGAAAGCAAAGGTCAGGTGGGAGTGACCCTTCAGGGAAAGCTTCCACTCTGACCCCCAGACTCCAGTGATTTTGACAAGCACCGAAAGATACACTACAGTGAGGGGAGGCTCCTGAAGAGAAACCTGCCCTCGGCTGAGGAGGAGGGCAACAGCGCAGCCGGCGCCAGCGTCAGCAGCAGTAGTCAACGTTTGACAATGGACCAGAAGCCCAGGCCTGTGGAGAAAGGCTGGGCAGGGATCAAGAATGGCAGTGTCCTGGTGACCAGCGGTCAGTCACGGGCCTCCAGGGACTGAACGTAGACAAGAGGCTTTCCAGAGCCCAGATCCGCTTGTACTTTCTTCTATCATATCTGTTCCCTGCTCCTCCATTCTCCGCTATATTCTGTTTTCCTCAGCACTGGCATGCGTCCTGTTCAGTCTTATAGAAAGGCAGTGGTTGGAGGTGACTCCAGGGAAGAAAGGGGACAGCTGGAGCTGCGTCTCCACTCAGGGTGGCCCCAGAGATGACAGGCTGGTGGACAGATGTTCTAAGGGAACCCCTGGGGAATGCAGCCTCCCAGAAGGTTTTCTGCAGTGGGGAGGGACAGATGACAAGAATTGGTACTTGCACTTTCCCAGTCTGGTAGCCTAGGATCAAAGGCACAGCAGGTGGCCACAGACTCAAGACTGGGGTGGTTTTCCAGATACTGCTGCCTACAGAAACCCCTCGGCGTCAGAGTCCACCATCAGGGAGACTGTGCCGCTGGCCCATCTACAGCGCAAGGAGTATTACAGCAAAGGGAGATACCTGAGATCCTGTTCCCACCCAGAGCTCAGAGACGACCTGGAAGATGAAGAACAGGACAGTGAGAGCCGGGGGAGGGCAGCCTCTGGGGTGGGAGGAAGACAGCCGGCCTGCCGGGCTACCCAGCCCTCATCTCACATTACTTCCAGGTTCTTCAGGCTTGACCTGGGTTACTGAGAATCCCAAAGGCACTTCAGCTTCTATGGGAAGCCTTTGGGTGTGACAGAAACCATGCAGGGCTCTTGGGATATAACCATGACTATTACGACGTGGTGAGGGTACCATCTCCCTAGGCCTGGCTCTTAGCAAGCTCCCACCTCCCAGCCTCCCAGACCTGTTAGGCCAGTGCCTCAGCAAGAGGCAGTAAAAGATCCCTAAACATCCTGGAGTCTAATGCCTACATTACAGAGAACGGATACCAGTGGTGCCCAGAGCATTGAGAAAACCCCTCCAGCCTCCTGCCTCAGCCACTGACTCCACAACTCCTCCCGGACTCCTTGCCACCCCACGCTCTAGTTAGTACCCTGCCTCCAGAGCCAGTGGGTCTCAGGTGGCCTCCAGCTGTTGGGCCGAGGTACTGAGGCACCGGGAGCTCAGAAAAGGAACATGGAAGTAACACCAGAATCCTCCAAGCTGGAACGGGCACAGACATGAGCCTGGGCATGGAGGCAAAGGGGTATTTGCACTGACCAGGGAGGCAGAGGGGTTGAGCGGGCAGGTTCTAGAGTTTGAGGGACATGGACAAGAGCTTACCCCTGCTGCAAGAAAACCCAACCTCTTCTCTCTCTAGGTGAAACCTTGCGGCTCCAGTGGACTCAGGAAAAAGAAACTAGATCATGGAAAATGTAGCCAGCTGGGGGTGAGGTGAGGGCAGCCTTCCCCAGCCCTTACCACTCTCATGGTGGACAATAAAGAGAACAGCAGGAATCTGATGCTGGGAGTTGGCTGTCCAGACTAGGAGTGTGAGGGGGTCCGTACACAGTGGACAGGAAGGCAGAGCCGAGAGAAGGAAGCGGAGAGCAACCAAGGGACGGGGCTCCTAAGCACGTAGGGGCTAAGGCAGCAAAGGCACAAATCTGAAGACAGTTTGTTCTAGTACTGAGACCCTGTTTCAAACATTAAACCTAGGGTTCTAAAAGTCGCTATTAGTTCTCTCACTTAATATGGCGTACCCGGTGAGGTCAGAGGAACTTCCAGAATTACTTCACTGTGGCTTCTGGGGATCAGACTCTGTTTGTCAGGCTTGCTGCGTGGCAAACACTTTTATGCTGTGAGCCACTTTGCCGGCCCCAAACCTAGGATCTTGAATGGGCCCAAGCTTGCAGCAGGATGGCAGTGTCTGACAATTAATTTAACATAAATGTATTAACATCATTTTTTTGTTTGTTTTTCGAGACAAGGTTTCTCTGTGTAGCCCTGGCTATCCTGGAACTTGCTCTGTAGACCAGGCTGGCCTCGAACTCAGAGATCTGCCTGCCGAGTGCTGGGAGTAAAGGTGTGCACCCCCACTGCCCAGCTTTGTAACAGGGTTTTTATCTCCCAGATGAGGAAGCTGAAGGGTCACAGGTATATAGTGGACAGGGCCCACTGTGAGCCCTGGCTAGCCTAGAACTTGTTCTGTAGACCACTGGCTCTGACCTCACAGAGGGCCACCTGCCTCTGCTCTAGTTAAAGGCGCGTGCCACCACGCCCTAGTGAGCACATGGAGTGTGAAGTGGCCGAGGCAGAGTTTGACACTAGACCATCACAGCCCCCTCAAACACTTATTCACCAAAGGAGAAAGACAGGGGAAACACCAGGGTCCCAGAAGGAAGATGACAGCAGCCTGTCTCTGGGGGTGGGGCTGTGGTTTCTCTGATCTCAGCACCCCCTCTACGCTGGCCCCGCCCCTGCCCCTCCCAGAGCCGCCCTGAAGTGGCGAGGTGAGAGTGCCTCCTTGCTCACCCCTCTCCCTTTGGGGAGAGCACTGCAGACCCAGGCCCCACCTACCAGAGGACCTCTTCTCCCTCATCGGTACCCTCCTGGGGGTAGGTGCATCTGCCTACATCCACACCTGCCTGGCCTCCAGGACCCCTGGGGCCAAAGCAGGTCATCTGAGATGACGGTCAAGCTAGATTTTGAAGAATGTCTCAAGGATTCACCCCGATTCCGGTAAGTGTCCATCAGGTCCATCAGGCTGTGGAGGGGAAGGAAGGTCCCACGTGCCCTCTCTCTCTCTCTCCCCCACCAGGCCAGACCTCCTATAGAGGCTAGCCACTAAGGGACGAGAGGAGACTGATGGGAAATGGTGCCTGTGTTATCTAGCCCAGGCTCTCAGACCTGGCGTGGTGTCTCCTGCCTGTAATCCCAGTGCTGGGGAGGCTGACACAGGAACATCGCTATGAGTTCCGGCCAACCTGGGCTGCAGAGTGAAAGCCTTTAAAAACAAAAACCCATGATCTCCAAGGGTCTTCCTACTGTCCGTCTGTACCTTCTGGCCTTTCTATCTGGCATTCCTTCTTCTTTCTCACTGGAACCCCTCCCCCAGCACCTGCCCTGGGGCGGTTAGCAACTTCCTGCCCTGGCCACATCCACCCTCCGACTCTTCCTGCTCTGGTCTGGCCTACTGAAGCTTAGAATGAGCAAGAACTGGCTTGTGGGTGGGTGGCTGTTCTCAACTCATAGCTTGGTCTCCCGTACCCACCATCCCATGACCCCAGCCCCACCTTGGCAATACACAGAACCCAGTGGACCTAAGTGCTGTTCCCATCTCCCTCCTTTCCCAGAGCCTCCATTGAGCGGGTGGAAGCTGAAGTGTCAGAACTGGAGACCCGCCTGGAAAAGGTGACCAAGGCACGGACAAAAGATCCCAGGGTCAGACTCCAATGAGAGGGGTGGGTCAAGGAGCCAGGGAATGAGTTAGAGTCAGTGGCAGTCAACTGTGCCTGGCCGTGCACATAACTGCGCATACACACACTCACACACACACTTAAAATCTGGACATAGTGCCCTATGCCTCTAATCCTAGCACTGGTAAAGCAGAAACAGGCAGTTCTCTGTGAGTTCTAGACCAGCCAGAGCTACAGAGTGAGACTCTATTTCTTTTATTTTTGTAATAAATTATTTTTATCGTATGTGCATTGGTGTTTAGCCTACATGGATATCTGTGTGAAGGTGTCGATCTCAGAGTTACTGACAGTTGTGAGCTGCCATGTGGATGCTGGAAACTGAACCCAGGTCCTCTGTGAGAGCAGTCAGTGCCCTTAACCACTGAGCTATCTCTCCAGCTCCAAAGGAGTGAGGACATGCTTTTTTTTCTTTCTTTCTTTCTTTCTTTCTTTCTTTCTTTCTTTCTTTCTTT